ATTCTTCCCAGAGGACCTTAGTGTGCGGGGTGGATTAGGAGGCGGTCCTGAAGATAGGTTGGACCTAAGCCATGTAGGGCTTTAAAGGTAATAACCAACACCTTGTACTCACCTCTTTTTAAAAACGAGAGATGAACAGAATGTGACTTTCCGGTTTATTTAAGAAAGGCTTCTGCATCTGACATGGCCTAGGAGGACCTGAACCATGATGAAAATGCCCCCTTGCCTTCCAGACTACATTTGGGGGCAAAAAGTTCTGGGGGGGGGGAAGGAGGTTCTCCAAGGCCTCTTGGGGAGTGAATGCAAACTCCTACCCTTTCACGGTGGCCCACACAATTCTGCATGAGATGGTCTGATCTAGTACAGAGCAAGCTCCTAAGTTCCACTGTCTCTAATGCTGCAACTGTACGGACAGTTACTAGGGAGTAAGTTTTCACTACATTATGTAAGATCCCTGGGGGCCAACCCAAAAAAGACGGAGGTCTTTAAGCAGAGGCTGGATGGCCATCTGTCGGGGATGCTTTGATTGGGAGTTCTTGCATGGCAGAATAGGGTTGGACTGGATGGCCCTTGGGGTCTCTTCCAACGCTATGATTCTATGACTATTGGGTTGGCGTTACTGGGCATTTGCCAAGATACATTTTTCTGTGGATCCCTTGGCCAGTTGCTCCTTGGTTGCTGGTTGACATGCTCCTGCGTGAGCCGGGAGAAGAAGGAGCAGCTACTCTTTGGCCGCCTTTCCTTACCTGCCGTTCTCTCAGGTGGCTTGGCCCAGAGGCAGAGGCCAAGTAAATAAGACAATCATGATATCTCAACCCATTAAGGGCAGCTTGTGCAAGCCCTGCCACAACTCCCTAAAGGTAAAGGTTTCCCCTTGACATGAATGTCTGGCTATGTCTGACTGTCGGGGGCTTTGCTCATCTTCTTTACTAAGCCAAAGAACCGATGTTGTCCGAAGACAACTCCATGGTGGCCAGCATGGCTAAATGCCGAAGCCGAGGTGCACAGAATGCTGTTACTTACCCACCAAAGTGGTACCTATTTGCACTTTTACATGCTTTTGAACTGCTAGGTTGGCAAAGGCTGGGACTGGCTTCAACTACCATGGCTCCATGCTATGGAATTCTGGGAAGTGTAGTTAATTGTGGCACCAACAAACTACACCAACAAACTACCCTAACCTTAACCGCAATTGTGGCACCAACAAACTACACTTTCCCGAATTCCGTAGCATGGAACCATGGTAGCTGAAGCGGTCTCAAACAGGGGTCCCAAACACACTGCAGAAATAATCCACACTTTGAGGGCCTTTACAAGCTGCCAGAAATGCAACTTGAGACCCCTTTAACTGCCCTGGCTCAATGCTAAGGAATCTTGGGAACTGTACTTTTGTGAGACATTTAGCCTTCTCTGTCAAAGAGCTCTGGGGCCACAATAAACCACAATTCCCAGAATTCCTTAGCACTGAGCCAGGGCAGTTAAAGGGGTCTCAAAGTGAATTATTTCTGCAGTGTATTTTGAGACTGCTTTAACTGCCCTGGTTCAATGCTAGGGAATCCTGGGAACTGTAATTTTGTGAGACATTTAGCCTTCTGTGTCAGAGAGCTCTGGGGCCACAACAAACTACAATTCCCAGGATTCCTTAGCTCCTTAGGTCTGTGAGGTTCTCTGCTAGTATTATGGTGTCATCTGCATATCTTCCTTCCTCCTATTTCATGCCTCCTTCTTCTGTGTTCAAGCCTGCTTTTCTTACAATATGTTCTGCATAAAAGTTGAACAGATAGTGTGAAAGGATGCAGCCTTGTCTGCCTCCTTTGCCAACTGGGAACCATTCTGTTTCTCCATGTTCTGTTCTGACATTAGCTTCTTGTCCTGAGTACAGATTCCTCATTAGGACTATCAGATATGTTGGCACTCCCATATCTTTATTTATTATCCCACCTTTCTCTCAAAGTGGGACTCAAGGCATTTAACATTTATATATATATATATATATATATATCTCCTTAGCCTTTCATGCTCTATTCAATCAAAGGCTTATGCACTGCTCTATAAAGTACATGCTGATTTTCTTTTGGAATTCCCTGGTTTGTTCCATTAGCCCTCATGTATTTGCAATATGGTCCCTAGTGCCTCTTCCTTTCCTGAACCTGGCTTGGACCTCTGGGATTTCTTTCTCCATGTATGGTTCGAGCCTATATTGCAGTAATTTGAGCATAATTTTGAGATCAGTGCTATGGTCCTATAGTTGCTGCAGTCTGTGTCTCCTTTGTTCTGGATGGGGATGTATATGGACTACTTCCAATCTGTTGGTTATAGTTTTGTTTTCTATATCTGTTAACATATGTTGGTCAGGACTAGAGTTGACTCTGGCCTTTACAGACTGCCAGAAATAATGCAACTTGAGTCCACTTTAACTGCCCTGGCTCAGTGCTAGGGAATCATGGGAACTGTGGTTTATTGTGGCACCAGAGCTCTCTGACAGAGAAGGCTCAATGTCCCAGAGGAAAAAAAACCTACAATTCCCATGATTCCCTAGCACTAAGTCAGGGCAGTTAAAGTAGACTCAAGCTGCATTATTTCTGGCAGTTTGTAAAGGCCCTCAAAGTGTGGCTTGCAAAAGAATTGACTCTTTTCCCTCAGAGGAGGAGAGGAGGCGCTGGGCCTGAGGAGGAGGAGTAGGCCTCATGGAGGCCTCTTCCCTTCCCTTCGGGGCGGGGACGGCGCCTTCCTCGGCCCCTTGGCGGGAGGGTAAGCGGGGAGAGAGGACGGCCCGGAACTTCCCCGGTGGAGGAAGAGGAGGAGGAGAAAGAGAAGAAGAAGGGGAGGCGGTTGAGGCCTAAGAGGGACGCTGCTGAGGAGAGACGGAGCCTCAACGGCTGAGGCCGCCTCGCCTTCCCTTTCCCTCAGGAGCAGGCGCTCGGTCGCTCCCTCAGGTACAAGCGCCTCAGGTACAAGTGCCTGCTTTCTTTCTTTCTCTTTCTTTCTTTCCTTTCAAAACACATTGCAGAAGCAATCCACTTTGAGACGGCTTCAACTGCCCTGGCTCATTGCCTCAACAAACTTTACCCTTCCCAGAATTCCATAGCCTGGTGCTATAGGGCAGTTAAAGCGGCGTCCGACTGGATTATTTCTGCAGGGTAAATGCAGTCCAAAATATTTCTAACTGCCCTGAACAAACTTAACATGCTCAGAATTCCAATTCATGGAGTTGTGGAACTTAAAGCGGTGTCCAACCATTTTATTTCTGCAGTGCGGATGCAGCCTTAGGGCCTGAAGAGATTGCCAGGAATAATCCAGTGTGAGGCCACTTGAACTGCCCTGACTCAGTGCTAGGGAATCATGGGAACTGTAGTTTATTGTGGCACCAGAGCTCCAAGACAGAGAAGGCTCAGTGTCTCAGAAGAACTACAATTCCTATCATTCCCAAGCATTGAGCCAGGACAGTTAAAGTGGTCTTGAGATGGATTATTTCTGGCAGTCTGTTCAGGCCCTTAGTTTCAAAGGGCCCACAAGAGGCCTTGGCACATTCAGGTCCGAAACACACTGTAGAAATAATCCAGTTTGAGACTGATTCAGCTACTCTGGCTCAGTGCCTCAACAAACTTAACATTCCCAGAATTCCAAAGCATGGAGCCATGGCAGTTAAAGCAGTGTCCAACCATTTTATTTCTTCAGTGCAGATGCAGCCCAAAACACACTGCAGAAATGATCCAGTTTGACACCACTTTAACTCCCCTGGCTCAGTGCCTGAACAAAGTACCATGCCCAGGATTCCAAAGCATGGAGCTGTGGCAGTTAAAGCAGTATCAAACCATGTTATTTCTGCAGTGCAGATGCAGCCTTAGTTTTAAAGGGCTCACAAGAGCCCTTGGCACACTCAGGTCCAAAACATACTGCAGAAACAATCCAGTTTGGGATTACTTGAACTGCCCTGGCTCAGTGCTAGGGAATCCTGGGAATTAATAGTTTATTGTGGCATCAGAGCTCTTTCTGATGAAGAAGGCTAAATGTCTCACAAAGCTACAGTTCCCAGGATTCCCGGTCACAGCCAGGGCAGTTCAAGTGGTCTCAAACTGGATTATTTCTGCAGTGTGTTTTGGATCTTTAACTGCCATGGCTCTCCATGCTATGGAATTCTGGGAATGGCAGTTAGTTGTGGCACCAGAGCTTTGCTATGGTGGCTTGTCTCTGGTGTCACAAGCCACTGCCATTTGCAGAATTTCATAGCATGGAGCCACGGCAGTTAAAGTGGTATCAACCTGGATTATTTCTGCAGCGTGGATGCAGCCCCTCTGAGGTCCAAAACACACTGCAGGAATAATCCAGTTTTGAGACTGCTTGAACTGCCCTGGCTCAGTGCTAGGGAATCCTGGGAACTGTAGAGAGATTTAGCCTTCTCTGTCAGAAAGAGCTCTGGTGCCATGATAAACTATAATTCCCAGGATTCCCTAGCACTGAGACAGGCTCCATGCTATGGAATTCTGAGATTTGTAGCGTTGCTCTGGTACCACAACAACCAACAAGTCCCAGAATTCCATAGCAGTTAAAGCGGTATCAAACTGGATTATTTCTGCAGTGTGTTTTGGACCAAAGTGGTGTCAGACCAGATTATTTCCACAGTGCGGATGCAGCCAATGACTCCTGTGTGGAGGAAAGAGCAGCTTAGTGTAAAGTTTGGCTAGGAGGCTGGATTCTAGTGTGTTTCATTTCATCCAAATTTCGGAAGAAGGGCTGGACTCTACAAAGGAGTGTAAAGGAGATGGAAGAAGGGTGCTGGAGTCAGGAGTCTCAAGGCTTTCTTCCATGTTACCAAAAAACCGAACGGAAGCAGAAAGAGGTTTTGGGGGCTGTTGTTGTTCCTTCAAGCTGTTTCAGACTTAGACAACCCTAAGGCTATAATGGGTTTTCTTGGCAAGTTTCTTCAGAGGGGGTTTGCCACTCCCATTCCCTGAGGCTGAGAGAGTGTGACTCACCCAAGGTCACCCAGGATGTTTTCATGGTTGAGCCGGGATCCGAACCCTGGTCTCCGGAGTCATAGTCCCAACGCTCAACCCACTACACTACTCCGGCTCCACACCTTCTAAACAGCTGCTCTACTTTGGTGCCTGACTAGGGCTTCATCCGCGCTGCAGAAATAATCCACTTTAACTGCGATGGAATTCTGGGACTTGTAGTTTGTTGTGGCACCAGAGCAAAGCTACACATCTCAGAATTCCATAGCATGGAGCTGTGGCAGTTAAAGTGGTGTCAAACTGGATTATTTGTGCAGTGCGGATGAGCCTAGGCCATTCTGCTCCAAGTCGTTGTCATCATTGTCATCATCATAATCATCCCCACTGTCTTTTGTTTTTAGAATCATAGAATCATAGAGTTGGAAGAGACCACAAGGGC